GAAGTCCTGCCCACTGGTTGGACAGGCGTAGTGATCTACATCCTGTCAGGATACCACGACTATTAATTCTCACAGAAGGTGTGGCACCGCCAGGGTTTAACACCTTAACCAACTGATACAACAGATGACAAGGTGGTATACATGCTGCATAACTTAGATAGGCCTGCTACCCCTGTGAAGGCTAGTGTTATTGCTCAACCAGAACAAAAGCCATGTAAACGTCTCACCATCATCACCTCCTGTCATTTACCCGAGCTGAAGTCATCCGTTGAACACCGGTATTAGACGCCTTCATTTAAAATGAAAAGTAATTACCCAGGGTAGTCCATTCAGGGAGCTTACAAAGCATACCTGCTATCAATAGGAACCCTGACTTCACTAACTAGACTATAAATAATAATAATAATAATAATAATAATAATAATAACAATAATAATAAAATATGTACAAGGTAATATAACAAATGAACTAATAACAAGATCTTTTAAGATTAAGGACATTTACAATCATGACTATTAAAAACCATACTTCCGTGGTAATAAAAGGATCTCTTGGCCACTTCTGTTCTTCTGGCAGGCAGATGCAAGAGATTGCTCTGGCGCGTTGAACGAGCACAAATGTCGTTGTTAAAAACAAAGTAGTTCTTAAAATACTGAGGGCACCGGCAAGTTCCTTACAAGTTTTAGGATGTGTTCATGGCGTCTGGACCTAAGACTTGACCATTTCAAAGCTTTCGTCGCAGTGTCACTACTAGGTGTTTTAATTACAATTGTTCCAACGCACTTCCGCAGAGTTTCTAGAGTTCCACTATTTACTTCCCCACAGCACCCCCAGACCCCAGCACAGTACTCTAAAGTCGGTCTAATCGTAGATAAAAAATGGCATCGGCACTATGTGTGGTGATATAACGGCGAACACGTCCTAACAGACCGACCTGCCTGCCAGCTTTAAACACAATTGCTTCAACATGTTCGTTCCAACTGAGGTGTTCATCAAAGATGACACCCAGGTACTAAAACTCAGTAACACGCTTTATAGCAGACCCTATTACCGTTTACAGGACGAAAAGGAATTCTCTTTCGTTAGAACAATGCCTAAATCTCTTGCCGTGTCAACATGCTTTATGGCCTTGAGCGGACAGATGTTCGTTTGAGGATTCCTGCGAACATTAAGAAACATTATGAAGCTCCCCAGATTGTAAACATCTTAAGTCACGGAAACAACCCTGGTAATATCGCCAGTCAGCTTTCCTTCCTTTATCAGCTATCATTCTGCCATGGTACACGGGCTGTCATCTCTCCTCCGACCTTAACGAGGTTCTGGTATCGACAAGCTTATCATGTTTTCAACGGCTTTAAGTGGGCAGTACGGTTAAAAGCGTTATTTTTCGTTGATTTCGACCCTTTTTCTTAAATATCTAGCCAAGATTCCATTCAATCCAAAAATAACTCAATTAAGTTACAGTCCTTAATTCAATAATTATTTATCAACTTTTCAACGATTTTCGGATGTTTTTAATGTATAAAGTTTAGGGAGGGAGTAGCCTGCGTACCTGGCGGTATTGTCTCGGTGCACCATTTAAGTTTTAGCGGCGGAGCCGTGATCCAAAAAAAAAAAAAAAAAAGTGGGGACGAGGGGTTTGAATTTCTCGCAGCTTACGCCGCTCTTGGGGCTTCGCCACCAAATCTGAAAACTCGACTACCACACGATACCGCCAGCTACGCAGGCTAGGAAGGAAGATGTTTAAAATTTTGGGAAAATGGGAAAATAAATTATTGGATTTGGGGGTTGTTAAAAATTGAAATATGAAGTGAATAATTTGTAGACAATTACCAGATAGTCCACCACCACAACAATTAAAAGGTGCCTCTGATCCCTTTAGCGGACTAACTGCACTGGTTTATGTGTATACCTTTTCAAACCTAATTTATTTTCTTCCCAAATCAACATCATTTCCCCAAAAAACTAACTATAATGCCTTCTTAACTTCGCTATTCTTGAAATTGGAAATCAAGGTTCTTCTTTCCTACACCACGTTTGGTTGTTTAATCTATTTTATTTTTCAGAAGAAGGCAAGGAAACCACGGGGCAAATATATCAACTCAGAATCTGGAATCACGCTCACCCCGGTAAAGAAAGCAGATAAAGTTAAGACCCGCGAGGCGGGAAGGCCCTTAAATTAAGGATACATTCTTTTCATGCAAAGCTGCCATAACTATGCTGACTAAGGGAGAAAATGCAGTACTCAATACATGTATATGGAGAAGAATAAATACGACTGCTCGTTCGTTTAAGTGTTCCGTATATCATCTCTCCTCTCATTTTTTTATGATACCTGACACCCATTTATTTTCACTTACTTGTTAAATAACATACAATGAAACCTCTACAAAGCGGACACCTTCGGGACCTTCCCAAATGTCCGCTTAATAGAGGGTGTCCGCTTAATAGAGGTTTGTAAAAATAGCGCAATGTTTGATAACGATTAACATTCAACGGTTACTAGTACTTTGTACTGTGATAAAGTTCCATGTTGTCAAGGAAACTAAGGAAGCTGTGCCGTACTTTGTGCAAGACTTTTAGGTTAACTCTGATCGCGGATGACAATCATAGCTAATCATATGGCCGAGTATCGGTCATTTGACAGCTAAATGTATTGATTTATCTTTATTAATCGACTACAGTACGTATTTCAAGGAATTGTCAATTCAGTGCGGTGTCCGCTTAATAGAGGTTTTAAACAATAGAAATTAGCCCAATACGATTTATGTTAGTGTCCGCGTCCGCTTAATAGAGGAGTCAGCTGAACAGGGGTTTGTTATAAAGGGACATATAAGACGTTCGTTTTAGGACCCGGCTTAGTGTCCGCTTAATAGAGGGTGTCCCCTTAATTGGGAGTCCGCTTCATAGAGGTTTCACTGTATTCACTTGTCAGGTTTTGAGGACGTTTTGTGTTGCTCAGACTTTCCAAGGGCCTGTTTATATGGAGGTGGGGGACCCCAGATAGGTGAGGTAACATGCGGCGGGTTACCCCACCTATCATGTAAATGTAATCAAATTAAAATGAGAGATCATGTGGACAGGCGGGTTACCCACCAAAGCGGGTTACCTCACCTACCTGGGGTCCCCCCGCGCCATGTAAACAGGCCCTAAGGGAGCAAGGTATATACAAAATGGCCCATCCTATTACAATAGTCAGACTCGAAACAAAGAGGGCTTGAAGAACGTGCCTTTTCGCCACAGCTGTTTTCTCCGAGCGAGTTTTGTGATACACCAATCGCTAACAACCACGATGCATGATACAAATAGTTCGACTCAGTAAATCGAATCGACGCTATCGCCTGATGAAGACCTACAGCGTGCAATATCAAAGTGACAATCGTGAGACAAGCGATAAAACTAAACCCTTTATAAGCCAGTTAGTTCGCTAATGCGATCAGAAGCACCTGGTATTTTTGTACTACTTACTCTATTCATATTTTAATTTCTAACAACCCCCAAATCCAATATTTTCGTATTTTTCCAAAATTTTAAACATCCCCCTCCCATTATCACACATTAGGAACATTCAAAAAATCATCCAAAAATTCTCAAAAAAATATTAAGACTCCAACTTGATACATGGAGTCATTTTTTGATTTCCAATGAAATCCTGGCTACATTGTAGATATTTATTAATAAGAAAAAAGGGAGAAAATCAACAAAAAACAATGTTTTTAAACAGACTGCAACTTAAATGGGTAAGCTTGAAAAATAGACTAATTTTTGTATATTAAAATCCATACTTGGCTCCAACAAAACAAAAGAAATCATCACCACCAGGCTAAGCCATGAATTAATAACACATTTCTTTTGTCTTATTCTCATAGGCCTGACGGAGCCAACTATGAATCTCAATTTAATATCGAAATTGGTCTATTTCCGCGCATTTTGATGTTCTACACTCGAAGTTTTGGAAATAATTTAGAACACTGAGCTCGTTTCAAGTGCATCTGTTTTAGCCAACTCAGCATGGTCACTTACAAGTAAACTGGCATTATTTTTAAAAGTCACCTTAGAAATCTTACAGTTTAGACGTATGTGTAACTAATGAATTTATTACCCCAAACAGAGGAAGAATCGGGGAGGGGATGGAAATTGGAGGGGGAGAGGTGCAGGAGGGCTACAAATCCAACTGTGAGGATTATTGGATGAGATTAAAATTATAGCTAAGTAAGTGATAAACTGATTACGCAACAGTTTTATAATGCAATAATTGTAAAATAGATTCAAAAGTCAAATGGTCGACCCCTTAGAGATGTGATTGATGAAAACCGCTTTCAAAATTGCGCACGTGATTTTAGTTCCGGTGTCTCGGTACAAACTGGATTGAAACATTCTGGGCGGGTGTCTCTCGTTATCCATTGCTCGGCCGGGATGAAGCAGATTCGTTCAATCTTAGAGGTGGAACAATTAGGGCCATTTATACCAGGAAAAAAAAGACGCGTTCTCAATAAGATGCCGACCTCACCGTATAAACAGCACAATAGTCCATTTTCGAGTTCGCTATGACCGCTGCATTAAAGAAGTGAAGACGCATCTTTTACAGCCTTAGCCTCCATCTGAAGTAATATATTCACAAATTCCAACGAGAAAAAGACATGTTTATTACTCTGTCTATTGTGTATATTCAAATTTCAAACACATGCTTGCCAGAATTTCTGAATATTTTACTTTACGTCGAGGCTAACCCTGTATGAATGTGTCGTTAATGTTTATATTCAGCGGTAATTTTGAATTCGAAACTGGACAATTCGTCTGAAATAACACCCAACTTAGCTAAGAGAAAAACAGGTGCTAAAGGCTATTTTTAGATAAGTCGGGTCTTATCTTATTTCAAACAAAATGTGTCGTTTATACGGTAAAGTTCGCGTCTTATTTAAGGCGCATCTTATGTAAGACGAGTCTTATTTCTCCCCGTATATTATAAATAGCCTTAACTGTAAAGTTGTTACCTTTTCCTACTTACTAGAAATTTCTTGAGCGAAGAATATTTCAAATCCTGTCTTGTTCTCGAGCAGCCAGTCCGTGTGGAACGTTAATACAACGTAGTTTCCTGATACAAGAAGGTCTGTTCCACTGAGCTGGTCACCGCAGTATCGAAGTTCGGTGATGCCATTCGTTATTTTCAAATAATCGATCCTACATGCAAGAAAATCTCTATCAATACAAGTTGCTGTACAGTAACAAATATCTCTCCCCCTCATTCTCTTCGCTAGATGCCAAAATAACAGATTATCAGACTGGTTCTCGAGATTGATAAGAAAATCCACCAATAAGAGCTAAAGGGACGGTAGCTGACCTAAACGTATACCTGATGAAAGTGAGATTCGCTTGGACTAAACTTGCAACAATTAAGCTATTTGAGAAGGTTTTTGTATGCCTTCAAGTTTTTGACCCGCAATCTCAAAATTAAAGTTCAGAAAAGACAAGCTAAACGTATTTATTCCTAAACAAGAAAACAGCAAAGAGAAAAGCGACTTGAATTTTTCATATATTTTGGACGGACAAGCCGTCCTTTTTCAGGGGATTTAATGAAGAATCGGAAAGTCGACTTTCTGATTCGTCATTAAATCCCCTGAAGAAGGACGGCTTGTCCGTCCGAAATATCGGGAAAACTCAAGTCGCTTTCCTCTTTGCTGTTTTGTTATTTATTTCTATATTTTTGTCTTGGATAAAACAGCAGGATTTGGCTGTCGTCATTTATATAAAAATTATTCATTCCTACCTGCATTCTGAATCTGACGCCAGGTCAAAACTTTGAAACTTGAGTCTCATCGCCTTACCATACGGAATAGAAGTATTGTAGACGCAGCTCATGCCGGCAGCATAGAAGCCATTTGAGTACGCAGGACTTTTCAATGTATTGTTCACTACTGACCCACATGAAACTGAAATGTAAGCGATGGATTTAACTTCAAGACCCTTTGTTCTTCTTACTAAATTCTAGGTACAAATATATACACAAGCAACCTATCTCACACAGGAAATGGGCAGTCATGCAAACCCACTGCTTGGAATGATCAAAGTTTATTTCTATATTGTACTGAATTTCCCTTCAAAGCCAAAAAAGTATGGTATAAAGTTTGGTTTGCTTGTGCTCCAACGTACAGGGAAATTTAGACCCCTTCTACTATACAAGATGGTTGGCTGAACGTCCCTTGGGCTTAAACTGTGCTATTAAAGTTGGTTAAGAAGAATAAAGCTTGAATAGATATTTTATTGGTATAGACATCGCAGCCAGAAGCTGCAAATTACGTGTAAACAAGATAAAAACTACTAAATTATAGAAAACGCATAAATTACAATCGATTTAAAAAAAGTTATAACTCGAAAGAATATCTACATATACATAAAATATATAAACTAAGAACAAAGTTTTTTTTTTTTTTTTTTTTAATAACTGATGGTTATTCTAAATGAGTTTACCGGGAGGCATTGGGAATTAAAGATAATTTTTAGGCCTGCAAGTTTAAAACTTGACATCAAAAGTCCTGGCATGCCTGAGGGTGTAAGTATGCGAGTCAGGCAGTAAGTGATGAAGACGGCGATCTCTGTCCTCTAAGATATTTATCGAAAAGAGATTGGCACAGGCGGTGATGATGTACCGCTAGTGATAATTCAAGGTCTAACGAAGCTAGAGCGTTGTCGTAGGATAAGGCTAGGTGAGGCATATGATCGAGAGAGCCAAGTCGTCGATTAGGTACTGAGGTAACGAACCGTGAAACACAGGAATCGCGTAATTGTAAACAGACCTTATACAGCTTGTGTAAACCTAAGCAATTTGGCCTTCTCGACATAAGCGGGCTTTAATTGCCTGAGAAAATACAGGGGTTTAGATGCTTTCTTTACCATATCAAACACGTGCATATCCCAAGAAAGGTTGCTGGTATATGTTTGAGTCCGTTGCTGATTGCCTCAAATTCCTCGGCTAATTTTTCATAACCGTCTGGAGTTGACCAAATTCGGAAGGCGTTTGCGCATATCCAGTAAAATGACATCAATTATTCGGGTAATCGCTAAAAAAAGTGACGGACACTGAGAAGCCTTTGAGAACGGTAGGCTGCGTTAGCTCAGCTGTTTGTGTCCAGCTGGCAAAGAATATCCCTGCTATGCCTAACATCCTTTGAACCCCAAATTTACAAAAGAACAGAAAAATTGTAATGAACTCAAGACACCAGAAGAAGTAAGCACGTTTTAAACTAAGAGTTACTTTAAGTGAATAATAAATACGCTAACCACACCCTCCTCGATCTGCATAATTCAACAGATCATGCTAAGCCTCATCCAACAATTCCTAAATATGTCATCGATATTCCTTTCAAAGATTTATTCCTCATCCTCTTTACATTTATTCGCAATCATCTTCTCTTTTGCTGCTATATTTACTTTCGTTTGCCGCGGTTCGATTCTATGACCAATTTTCCATCTTAAAAACACCTCGCTGCACTAAAATTAAAACTCGTCCATTGGGTCTCACAAGAATGAGGACAAAACCTAAGAAAATGAAAAAACGGTTGAAGAACAATTAAGTAAGGGTTTTTTAACTGGAACAATAAGGTATGTGATATGTTCACCTGGTACGACACCAGGTGAACATATCACATACCCCAGAGGGATAGGTAAATAACATGCTTATTTTTCACGTGTGAGCTTTCCAAAAGCAATTGCTTTTCAAAAATCTTTAATTTATTTCTCTAGAGATGCTTATTCCCAAAAGCCTTGAATTGTTTGAGGTTGAGCTCTAAAACATGGAAATTGGTCAATTCATATGGATTAGTCAAACAGTAGTTTTAACCATAAAGAGATGAGTGACTCAGAGAAATACCTATTCTTAACGTTAAGGCAGAGCAGTTTGGAAACTCTTTTGGACCTTTTACCGCGACAGATTTTTGTGTTAGGCGTCCGACGAGACACATTGCAAGCCAGACTGTTCGTAGGTAGACTGCAATAAACCTTTCGCAATCCTCAATTCTCAAAACAAAAACCCTCTCATAACTTATTAAGCTTTGTTTAGCCCAGTTTTCGCTCACCCATAAAGTACACTCACGCGCTAAATTCCCTAATACCTTGTCTCTCCTTGACTACCTCAGGTGCTGTCCTGTGAGAGCTGCTAATAAATCCTTCAGCAATAACGAATATTAACTCTTTCCTTAACACACAACAGTTTTTATTTAAACGAACATTCCATCCGTAATCATCACAGTCAGTCGTTTCGACTAAGAGTGTTCTAGGGCTCAGCACAGTTTTATAAGTCTCCTCCAGGTAGGTCTGTCGTCCCTCTCCGGTCATCGGTTGAGATCGATGTCTCTCCAATTCATGTTTCTTTTACCAACATATTTGAACCTTAATCTAGGCCTCTATTGATACGCATTACCAAACAGGCCTCTACTGATTACGCATTGCCAAACATAGTTGAAAGTATAACAGCTTCTTCGGTAGTCTGTTATTATCCATCCTATGCACGTGAGCCAGCAATCTAAGATTTTTCTCAATGAGAATATCAGCCATTGATGGAAGTCCGGCCCACTTGTTGGAAATGCGTAGTGATCTACATCCTGTCAGGATACCACGACTATTAATTCTCACAGAAGGTGTGTTGCACCGCCACACCTTAACCGACTGATACAACAGATACAATGTGGTATAACTCGTCGTCCAACTTACATGCTCCATAACTTAGATAGGCCTGCTACACCTGTGAAGGCTAGTGTTATTGCTCAACCAGAACAAAAGCCATGTAAACGTCTCACCATCATCACCGCCTGTCATTTACCCGAGCTGACGTCATCCGTTGAACACCGGTATTAAACGCCTTTATTTAAAATGAAAAGAAATTACCCAGGGTAGTCCATTCAGGGAGCTTACAAAGCATACCTGCTATCAATAGGAGCCCTGACTTCACTAACTAGACTATAAATAATAATAATAATGGAAACTTTATTTGTGTTTTTGAGAGTACAATTGTAAATCTCGCTACGTATAGGCAATTTACAAATGCTGCTTGAGATTGGATTATTAAAAAGAAAAACAAAAAACAAAAAACAACAACAAAAAAAACAAAAACAAAACAAAAGCCAAACAAAAAAAAAAGAAAAAAAAAGAAATCAAAATTGCATTAAGTCTGGGCTATCCCAGTTCCTATTTCTACAACAAAAGATGTAATATGTTGCTCTAATGGCTATATTTATCATTTTCTTGATTATATAAAGTTGCTTCTTTTTGTCAATGCCAATGTCATTCATCATGTCTAAGAACGTGGAGCATTCATCGGAGAAAACGCCAAGGGAGCTCATGGAGAGATTTACAAATCTCATGCATCTGTAATTTCTACTCATTTCGTTGATCAAGTTCAGATATTTTTCGTTCTTACGCACTGCATTGTTGTTAAGGTTAGACTCGAAACCAGCTGTTAATTCTAGAACATATAGGCACTTGGACTGGATATAGGAAAAGAAGATCTGGACGATAATTTCCACCAGTCATTATCATGGATTCAGAAAACCATTAACATCTGCATAGAGTGAAGAGTGAACATTAATTACAGGTTGAAGTGACTTGGCAATGAAGTTAAGGATTGAGTCGTGTCTCCAGGTAAAGCGATCAAGTTCTTGTTGACAACCAGCGACAACATGAAGGAGTGATTCAGGATTAAGGCAAAAGGAGCAATCAGGACTTTGTGCTAATCCCCATCTTGCCATATTCTTACGTGTAGGGAGGGAGTCGTTGATGTAACGGATGGTAAAATTGTAAATGTTCTTGGGTAGATGAGTCCGGGCCTCTGACCAAATAGAATTTACAGATGACAATGAATACTTGATAAAATTTGAGAAGAAGAAACCTTGAGATGTTAGGTGGTGTTGCAGTTTATCCTCTTGATTAGAACGGAAATCTTTTAGAACGGAAATAATAATAATAATAATAATAATATTAATAATAATAATAATGATAATAATAATGAAATATGTACAAGGTAATATAACAAATGAACAAATAACAAGATCTTTTAAGATTGCTCTGGCGCGTTGAACGAGCACAAATGTCCTTGTCAAAAACAAAGTCGTTCTTAAAATACTGAGGGCACCGGCCATGTATACATTTCCTTACAAGTTTTAGGATGGGTTCATCGCGTCTGGACCTAAGACTTGACCATTTCAAAGCTTTCATTGCAGTGTCACTACTAGGTGTTTAAATTACAATTCTTCCAACGCACTTCTGCAGAGTTTCTAGAGTTCCACTATTTACTTCCCCACAGCACCCCCAGACCCCAGCACAGTACTCTAAAGTCGGTCTAATCGTAGATAAAAAAAATGGCATTAGCATTATGTTTGTTGATATAACGGCAAACACGTCCTAACAGACCGACCCGCCTGCCAGCTTTAAACACAATAGCTTTAAGGTGACTCGACCCAGTTTTTTTTTTTTTTTGGGGTACCATCCTACTTTGAAGCTCTCTGGTATCCCCACCTTTACTTTTATCGTAAGTCTAACACATAGAATGGATAACATATAGATCAATCTACAATATAACATAAAATTTTTGGCGATCGGAGTAAATGTCACGTGGTTATAATACCACGCCCCTTTGAGGTCTGAGTCGAAAATCGGCTGTTGCCGGCATTTTTTCGTGAAAATCTCTCGGCTACACGTAGTGCGCATTAGTGCCTTGCGCTGAACAGAGTTTCACCAAAATCGCAAAGACCCAATTCGAGAAATTCAGCGGTTTCCAAATCTAGGTCATAATTTATGCGAAAATGATAAGCAAACTTTACACGGATTATATCTAATAAACCAAGAGATTCATCCCTTTTTTTTGGGCA